CAACACTATGAAAAAGCACACGACAAAATGACAGCAACAAATTCATACTTGTCGATAATTATGTATCTGGCAAGGGACTTATCTCTAAGATTTATAGAAAACTCCAATACCTCAACACTAAAGAAATTAACAATCTAATTGAAAAATGGGCAGAAGGCATGAATAGACGCTTCACCAAGGAGGATATTTAGGTGGTCAGCAAACACATAAAGAGATGCTCACGATCACTGGCCATTACAGAGACGCAAATCAAAACAACAATGAGATACCATCCCACCCCAGCACTAATGGCAAGGTACAACAAGACAGAAAAGAAAAAATGTTGGCAGGGATGTGGAGAGACTGGGCCTCTCATACACTGCTGGTGGGACTGTGAAGTGATACAACCACTGTGGAAAGCAGTATGGCAATTCCTTAGAAAGCTGGAATTGAAGATACCATTTGACCCAGTCCCATTACTAGGTATACATCCTAGAGAGGTGAGAGCCAGGACAGGAACAGATATGTACAACACTCATGTTCATCACAGCACTATTTACAATAGCAAAAAGATGTAAACAATCTATGTGCCCATTAATGGAAGAGCAGATGACCAAACTATGGTACATATACACAATGGAATGCTATGCAGCACTAAAGAATAATGTAGAGTCTGCAAAACACTGCATAACATGGAAGAACTTGGAGCACATAATGCTGAGTTAAAAAAGTCAATCAAAGAACGACAAATATAGTATTAATTCATTATTGTAAAAAGTCAAAGAGATTTATATATGGAAGGAAACGTTCTCTGTTGGTTGCCAAGGGTGGGAGGGGAGGGAACACTTCAAAAAAAAAAATGCATTGACCCATGTCACTTTAGTTTTATGTATTTCACTGTACATAATTTATATTTCAATAAAATGCATTTAAAAAAAAAAAAGTATGGTGACTATCCAGTATGGTGACTGCTGACTGCTCTGAAAGGGAGGTCTTAGAGTGGGAGAAAAAGGTGGAACAAAACTCAAAATAGAAAATGGTGAAATCCCAAGAACATAGCCCTTTGACACTCTTCAAGCCAGGAACTGAACTGACCCTAATGCCTCAACTTTTAGCCAATTGATAGGCCTATAAGTTGAACAATAATACTAAGAAGGTATGCTCTTATTAGAACAATCAACAATACTAGATCAAAAGGGCAGCGTCTGCCCAGGGATAAAGCTAAGGTGGCAGGAAGTGATAAGAAAGTAGGATGAATGGAAATGGTAAATATAGAGCAAGTAAGAGTGCTGTTACATTGTAGGGAACGTCACAAAACAAAATGTGCATGTATTCTTCAGTGGAAATCAACTGTGATAGAGCTGAGTGTCAACTTGGCTGGACCACAATTCTGTGTAGTTTAAGCAATTATGATGTGGGTTATTCCCATGATGGGATCGAATGTGTATGTTTTGAGCAGCCAATCCATTGACAAAGTGTTTCCCTAGGGGTGTGGCATGCTTCCAATATATTTATGGACATCCTGGGAAAAGAGACAATCTTCTGTGGGCCAGGATTCTGTTGTGCTGCCTACAACTGTCCATGAACGAACAATCCACCATTTGGCTTGGAGATCTTGGATTCATCATTCATTGGCGTCAATAGCCAGTATACTGCCTGACAACCTTGAGCTCATCAGTCCCTGCAGTTGCGTGAGTTGGGAAAAGCCTCCAGCTTGATATATGATCCAAAAACTTGGGACTTGCCAGCTTCTAAAAGTGTATGAGCCATTTTCCTGAGATAAATTTCTCTTTCTTTATATGTATATATATAAGCTTTACTGGTTTTGCTTCTCTAGAGAACCCAGCCTAACACACCAATTTACTCTATAAACTTTCACCCAAATCACTATCAAAATAAAGTTTTCAACTTATTGACTATGTTCGATTTTTGAGAAAACTTTAAATATCTAAACACTATATTACAAAGCAACAGTATTTGTCCTAGGCATTTCCTTATACAAAATCCAATGGTTACTTAAATATAAACTATGCTCTAATAAAAATTCTATATAATGCAAAACCTTCCACTCTCCTTCCAAAAATGTCTCTTAAGGAAAAAAATAAAAAGGCACGAACTTTTGTTCTATAAGAAAACAAAGGCAACTTTTTACATGTTTTAAACTTAAAATGAAGATTAAAAGGAGTAGAAAATCAATCTAGAAAACACATTCCAAAATGTGTATTTAACAACACACATCGTAAGTATAAACATACTATTGTAATCTGTACAGATTACAAACCCAGTTGCCTTCAAGTTGATTGTGACTCACAGAGTAGAACACTGTGCTCCACAGGGTTTTCAATGGCTGATGTTTCAGAAGTACATCGACAGGCCTTTCCTTGTAAGTGTCTCTGGGTTGACTTGAACCACCAACCTGTCGTGTAGTGACTGAGCATGTTAACCATTTGCACCACTGAGGGACTCCTATGTTTCTATTGACTCCATTATAAAATTGACAATATAATTTCAAAAGAAAGGAGGCAGAGCTCTCACAGAAAGAGGTATTGCTCTAAGGACTATGAAACATGATAGTAGAATAATAAACCAAAAACCAAACTCACTGCCATCAAGTCTATTCGACTCACAGCGACCCCTCCTTGTGTTTCTGAGGCGGTATCTCTATGAAGTAGATTGCCCAATTTGCCTTCCAAGGAGTGGCTGGTGGGTTTGAACCGCGAGCCTTCTGGTTAGCAGTCAAATGCCTTAGGCACTACGCCACCAGAGCTCCCAACAGAATAACAGACAGGCTTTAATATCCAAATGGAATGCACAGCTGTCAACCCAACTACCAATAGTAACTTCCAAGAATAATTCAAGCTCAAGGAACTTTAAAAGAAGAGATGAAATGGCAGAGAATACCACAATTTCTCAGCTCTTCAAGATACACATCCTTTCTAAATTGCATGCTAATAAAAAACCAAAAAGAAAAATACTCTGGGTTAATTAAACAATGTGGATTTTTGTTCCCTTCCTGTAAATTTTGGAAATAGATGATGAATATATGTTTTGTACTCCACATTTTCACATGATTAAAGTCCACATTCTTTTGGAGGGCTCAATTCCTCTCAAACCATTACATCTCAATCCCTATCTTAAAATTATCTACTTCTATTACTAGAAGACTATGTCAGAATACTAAACTTTTACTTCTTCAGCTCTGGCTTATGTAAATTCAAAAATTGTTCTAGCCTAAGAGCTCACCCCCTTAATTCTATATAGCTTGACAACTGCCTTATTATATTTATTTTGCTGGCTCCAATAATCTGCCTGACTAAATCCCATTACTTCCATACCTAGAGGGCTGACATGATCCCAATTTAAACCTGGTTTGAGGTTCTTATCCTTAAAACTGGGAAGTTTTATCCTTCTATCAGCAATGGGCAAGGAACAAATTTATTTGACCAAATGTCCACTCTCAGTTTCCTTCACCTTGTCTTATTCTCTTTGTCCTCATCTATTCTGCAAACATTTACTAGCATCTATTTATAAGTCATGAAAAATGCTAACCACTGGAGATACAAATGTTAGTAAGACATTTTCTCTGCCCATTTTCACAGCCAAGTGAAGGAGTCAAACATAGAAATAATATTAAGTATTACAAAGTTGAGAAATTCTATAAAAGAGCTTTGTAAAAATCCTATGGGAATACAAATGAAGGAGTGAGGAAAGGCTTTACAATGTGGTTATCATTTAGATTTTGAGGAATAGTACTGGCTGTGTGTGCATACATGTATGTGTTAGTAAATGGTTTTTAGTTGAAAATGTAGAAAAGGTAAGGAAAGCTGAAATAATACCTCATGGCAAACAAAGTGCTGAATAAATTATGTTAAAATAAACAACTTCAGATATCAACAATAGCTCCCTTTCTCATTCTTAGAAATTGATTTTAATGATGAACACACACACTTAGAGATTTTGTGTACTGAATGATTATTAGATTGACAGAAGCAAAAAGCATTTTGAGGAAAATTCAATGTAAGCAGACTGATCATCTGCAGTGGAAACAGCAGGCTTGTTACATAATACAGTTCTCAACATTGATAACGCAGAGGAATGAAAACCAAATTAAAACTCAGGAAGTCTGAATTCAAGTGTCAGTCAGATAATAGCTATGCCCTAAACAGGAAAAAGCCTTTTACTGAATTTCCTAAACTGCCCATCTAACTCAAAGAGTTAAGACCAAATAAAATAGTGGGTCTGAAACATGCTTTGAAAAATACGTAATGCCATACAAACACAAAATCTTACCTTCATTATGCTTATACTTCAAACAAAAACAAACCAACTCACTGCCATCGAGTCGCTTCAGACTCATCATAATCCTACAGGACAGAGTAGAACTGCCCCATAGGCATTACAGTGCTATTAATCTTCAAGTAGGACTGCCTCATCCTTCTGCTGAAGAGCAGCTGGTGGGTTCGCACCACTGATCTTTTGGTTAACAGCAGAATGCCTTAACAAGCACACCACCAGAGTTCCATGCTTATACTTACTATACTGGAAATGAACTCTTAAAATCTGTATTTCTTTCTTAAAACCAAACAATAGTTCAGCTTAACTAGTAAAAAAAAGAAATGTCTGCCTTGAGCATTATGCTCTTTTGAGAACTATCTATATAGAATCAAAGTGACAACAGCACCTCTAAAAATTAGATAGGAAGCTTAAGGGGCAGTGAAGGAGGAACAATTCAGAAAAGGAGAGTGAGAATGGCTGCAGAACTCAAAAATGTAATCAGTAGCAATGAATTGTACATGCAGAAATGGTTGAATTGGTGAATATTTTGTTGTGTATATTCTCAACAAAAAAATTTTTTTTTTTTAATCTGTATTTCTGACATTTTAAACTCATTTCACTAAAGCTCTAGTGAAGAGTTTTTACCCGTTCCACAGACCGCGCCCTCTTCTTTGGCCGAGAAGGTAGCGCATCTTCCTTCGGATTGGTGTCTATTGCCCAGTAGGAACCCTAAAGATAAAAAAATATATGTTAATTATATATTACAATAATTCAATGACATTAAAATGGATTTTCATAATCATGTGCTTTAAAGGCAAACATTCTGCAAATCCAAGAATGGAAAAGTAGTGTAAAATCAGCTTTGAATTGAGAAAAAGCACAACTTGTATGACAAAAAGGTCCATAACTAGATTATTAAAGAGAACAAAAAATCCCAAGTCCCAGAACTTCTGCTAAGTTAAAAAGGGAAATGATCAACTGAATACATTTTTTAAAATTTTTAATTGAACACATGGTAGCTACAGTATCATGACCTCCAAATTTAAAGAATTTTATATATAAAGACATTATAGTTTCTGCATCCTAGGACCTCACAAATCTAAATGTTAAGTGAGACAATTTTAAAAGACAAACGTAAATTACTTGATATTTTTATATAAAATATATTATATATATATATATATATAAAAATGCATCCAAAAGAACATTGTCTTTTATTGTTTATTCTGTCATAATTTAGTCTCTTATTTTTTGGATACAATTTCTATTCAAAAATACTGACTGATCACCTACTGTGTTCTAGGTACTCAAAACTAACATTTCAAAAAAAATCTATTTTGAAAAGCATAAATAATACTGTTTCTGTATATTATACAGATAAGGAGACCAATGCTCAGGAAGATAAAGGTTTGCCCAAACAAGGATATGAAAGCCATCACTAGAATCAAGGTCTTGAGTCATAGCTCCCTTCTCTCTCAGTTACTCTGCCTTTCCAAACACACACACAACACACACACACACACACACACACACACACACGGGAGGAAGAAAGAGAGAGGAAAGAAGGGAAAGGAGATATACTTTTATCAGAAACAGATACACAATTTATGTTGTTGCCTTATAATTGATTCCAGTAGTATTGTTCATGTCTAGTCTTTGCTTCTATTATTTCATTAATTCTCCTGAGCTGCTTTTCTGCTTTTTCAGGCAACACTTGACAATGACAGAAAATACAGTCCTAACCTATCAATTCTCACACTTTATGCCCAACATGAATTACCTGGTGATGTTTCTTGACTATATTATGTTCTTTCATACATCTGTGCCTGCCCTATATGGTATCACTACCTATAATATCTACCTTACCACTGACAAACTCATATTCTACCTTCAAATGTTAGCTCAGACATTATCTAAAGGAAGGGAACTTTGGTGGCGTAGTGGTTAAAGTATTTGGCTGCTAACCAAAAGGTCGATGGTTCAAAACCACCAACCATTCTACAGGAGAAAGAGGAGGCAGTCTGCTTCCATAAAAATTTATAGCTTCAAAAACCCTATGAGGCATTTCTACTCTGTCCAATAGGGTCACTATGAGTTGAAATCAACTCGATGTCAGTGGGTTTTGGCATTTGAGACATTATCTTTTCTGATCAAAGTGGTCACTGCATTTCAGCTATGAGTCTTCCAGACGTGATATAAACTTGACAAGAACCATGTAAAATGTAGATGCTACAAAAAAGCAAGCACTAAAAATGATAACAATGATTTCATCAGTTTGTTCAGCCAGCAGGTTTCAAAATAAAATAGGGAGAAAAATGTTTAAACTTAGTTGTTACTAAAACTGAACATAAAGGAGAAATAACTAAATTCATTGGACAATAGTTTAAAAACTAATATTAAAAAGATGATAAATTTCACTGTTTAGTTTTGTTGGGTGTATATATATATATATATATAAATATGTCTATTAATCAGGGAAACCACTCACTGTCCAAACGTTAGACTGACTTGTTATTCAACAATTTAATAAAGCTTACAAAAACAAATACTTACGGTTTTCCACACAGAATATGACTGGCTGTGACTTGCCACAAACAGATCAACAACAGGAATAAAACTTATACATAAGCTTAGCACTATCCACTATGTATAATGTATATGTATTCACAAAAAAACTGAATGCCAAAATGCAAACACTAACTTTATTATGATTAAAATGATTCATAAGATAAGTTCTGCAATCTACCTAGTGTCTCTGGGATAACCTAAGGAAATCTCATCTGTGAGATCAAAAGTTTAGATAAAAGGACCTTAAAAGTTTCCTTCAGCTACCTTTAAAGAGCAGAGCTAACCTTTGTTCTTCCTTATTAGACAATATTATCTCACAAAAATTAAACTGCCTCTATATAGACAATCAACACACACACACTCAACCTAATTTCCTCCCAGAGTAGCACCTCCTCCTTTAGACTGATGTGAAGCAAGTAGGAAACAGGAGAGGTTTTTGTTTGTTCTTAATCAAGTTTATTGATGTATATTCAACAAATGAAAATGCACCCATTTTAAGTGTACATTTCAAGGAGTTTTGACAATTATATCTAACCAAGTAACCAATACCAAAATCAAGATACAGAGCATTTCCACCACCCTAAAAACTTCCTTTTTGTGGCTCAGCAAGAAATCCTCCTAACTCTATCTCCCCACCCCACACCACCCAAACACTGATCTGCTTTCTATCATATTGATTAGTTGTACCTTTCCTAGAATTACATACAAATGAATTCAAACTTTAAAACTAGTTTCCACTTACATCAGCACTTACTAGAGTTCAGCTCCTCCAGCTCCTTGCCAATATTAGTGTTTTTTTTTTTTTTTTTAAAAAAAACGTCTTTTCAATTACAGCCATTCCAGTGGATGAGTGGTAGTGCAAGAAGGGCATGGAGGTGGCATCATCTGACCTCCTCTAACTTCACAAGAGGAAAAGTGGATTGAGAACAACATCAACAGCCCAAGTCTGGTTATTATGAGGCAGTGGTCAAACATGCTGCCACCCTCTTAACACTTTTTATCAATTCTGACACCAACCGTCCCTCCCACGGCACTCTCTCCTTCTCTGCTGGGTCAATAATTCACTGCAATGACCACAGAGAATTCACAGACAATAGTCGTGATTACGGGGTTTATTACAGAAGTAACAAGCACAATTCAGGTTCAGGAACTGTACACAGTTGCCCATCAATTGACAATTGACACAATCTGTCAATCGAGACAGCCTCTCCTTAGCCATGCCTGTAAGCACTTCTCTCTTCAGTCTTCAGCCTTTCTGCCTGTCCTCTACCCTATTTGGCCAAGTGTTACAAAGCTCTTTCACCTTTGCCAATAGGTACACCCCACTGCACCAGCAAGCCTTCTGCTGAAGGCACTCAACTTGCCTGTTCCACGGGCCAACAAGCCCATCACTCTGTCTCTGGATTCTTTTGCCTCTGCTGCCTCTGTCTCTCTGCCAAGGAAGTCTAGTGTAGGGATTTCAGGTCCAAAGGACACATTTCTCTCCTAGTTTTTCTTTCTTGATGGTAGCGAGATCCCAGAGGCAGTAGTGAGATCTGCCTCTGTGATGGCTCATTTGAAGACTGGTGAGATGGCAAAACTGACTGATCCCCACATTAGGGTTCCATACACCTTATTTGCACGGTCCCTCCCCCACAAGGGTATCATGCACCTTATTTACATTAATAAGTTATCTAGTCCCCTTGATGGCCCACAAGCACCTCACATTTGCTTAGTCCCACCTAATCATTTGGCAGGAGTTACAAAGATCATGGCTACAAGAATTGTACTAAGTAATTCACTGCATCATAAGTAATGACTGAGTAATTATCATGTGCATTTCTCTAATGACTAATGATGTTGGACATCTTTGCATGTGTTTATTTGCCATCCATATATCATCTTTTGTGAAGTGTCTATTCATAACTTTGTCATTATTTTATTTAGGTTGTAAGAATTTTGGTTAGTTCTAAGAATTCTTGATATATTCTGAATAATGAGTCCTTTGTCATAACAATGTTTTGTAAGGGGCAAAAAGTTTAAGTCCAATAATTTCCAATTTATCAATTTCCTTTTTATGATCTATATTTTCTGTCTCCTACCTAAATCTTTGCCTAATCCAAGAGGGTAAATATTTTCTCCTCGAAGTTTTATGGCCCTAACTTTTCTGTTTAGATCTCTGGTCCATTTAGAGTTAATTTTCTATATAGTGAGCTAAGAATCAATATTAATTTTTATTCCACCCACATATACAGCATCATTTCTAGAAAAGATGATATCCTTTCCCCCAGTGAATTACACTGGCACCTTTGTCAAAAATCAACAGACTATATATATTTTTGCACAAATAAAGTGCACATTATACATTTTTTGCCAACTGTACCCTCCCCACACCAAGGTATTTTTGTAAGTATGCCATACCAATATTTTTATAGAAACATTTTAAATAATAGGATAGTGTTACTTATGAAAAACAGCATATGTGGGTCTATATCTAAACTCTATTATGTTTCAATGATCTACATGTCTATCCTTACACCAATACCATTCTACTTTGATTACGGCAGCTATACAGGGAAACTGGATGGTGTTAAGTCCTACAGCTTTATTCTTTTTCAGAAGTGTTTTGCCTGTTCCAGGCCCTTTGCATTTCCAGATACAGAACAGAATCAGCTTGTCAATTTCTCTTTTTTAATCATGGTAAAAATATATACACCAAAGTATTCACCAACACAACTTCCACATTTTGATAACACTGATTAAATTCTTCATGAGCACCACCATTACTGCTACTACTTTCCAAAATACTGTCATTAACATAAAGTCAATGCCCTCACAATAGAAATTCCTCTCCCTCTCAGTCTTGGTAACCATTAATAATTTATAGTTTGTACATATATTTCTTGATTTCACAAAAGTGACATCATACAGTACTTGTCCATTTGCAACTGACTTATAAAGCTCAGCATCATTGTGGTGTAGTAAATTACTTAGTGTGGCTTTTCTACCCATAAGTCTTTGTAAACTCCAAGGTGGGATTTTCTATGAGCAACCGAGGAGCTCCTGATTGCTGAAGTT